CAGTCTGCAGAGCTCCTCACGAGCCGAGTTTCTCACCAGCTCCAGGAGCTCAGCGGTCAGGTACTCGAGCACTGCTGCCAGGTTGACGGGAATTCGTCCACGGCACCTCCTTTTCAACTCATTTGGGATTTGGGGCTGTAGTTGAGATATTTGAGCTTTTGAGATGTTAATCAGCTGCTCCTAGTTGTTGAAAAAAAAACTTGTTGCCATGGTTACGCATCATAACAAACGTCCAAAAGTAAAAAGCTTTCAGTAAAAATCCTTCCAGCTGCACAGCGTCTGATACCAGAGGAAACAATCGTAAAAAAGCGATTTACATCCAGAAAAAAAGAGGAATTAAAGTTTTCAAAAGCAATAAATCAGAATGAGCTGCTCCAACATGCAGCCACCTTGAGCGGCGCAATTCTACAACTAAGAAATTCTAAGCACATAAAACAATTATTTATTTGCTCGACATTATAGTAAAGGTGTGTCTCAGTGGAACTTTTCCTAAATAAATGCACTTTAATGGTCAAATCAGCTGCATTTCACCTGGGCGGCAAAATGCAGCTGATTTGATGTTTGTTCCAGGAGTTCTGGAGCGAGACGAAGGTGTCTTGGTATGGCAAGCCAAGTGTCTCATTAATAGCCACTTTTACCTATTAATGAGACACTTGGCTTGCCATATTAGTCCAGGGCCCTCTAGTGGCTGAAAATGGTAGTGTTCAACATTTTCCATGTCAGAATTAATTAAATCGTCAGATCTCAGCCATAAATTGAGTTATAAATATGGGGAAAAAACAAATACGTCACTTCGCTGTCTAAGTCACAGGCATCTTAATTCATGCAAAAAACTGTGACTTACACAGCGAAAAAACCGGTACCTGGAACCAGACTGTTCTGTGGCCCTTTTCCATGGGCTTGACTTGGTCCAGATTCAGACCCGCTTTCAGCTCGGATCTTAGGATCTACTCTGCTGATGTTCCACGTGAACCGAGTGGAGCTGAAGGTTCAACGCCAGCAGACACTGCAGGCCGTTGACTGGCCAGAGAGATCAATCTCCGTCACCATCCAGGGTCTGGACCTGAACCGTCCTGGTAAATGCATAATTAATAATTCTCTGCTGTTTGGGCTCATCACGTCCTACTGCCTTGTCTTCCATCAGATTTTACAGGTTTTACATTATTGTGAATGTTTGCGGCCTCGTCCGTCACCAGGCTCCTGTGAAAGCTGCCGACGATAACTTCCTGCTCTGAAGGTCTGACTGCAGAACATTCAGCCGGTTCTGGTGTCCTGGAAATCCCACAGCGGCCTCTTTATGATCTGGATCTTAATGACCATCATAAAAAATTATCTGAGCAACCGGTTACCTGAAAGGAACCGTTGTAAAATACGGTGACGCAACAAACGCGTGGAACATCAAATACGAGTCAAAATATTTGAGTTAAATCAACATTTAGGCTGGAAAAGTTTCTAAATGCACCAGGTTTAGTTTTAGAAATGTACTAATAGCTTAAAAATAATATATTCCCCTGAGGAAAAAATAAATCTCTAGTTTCTATCATAATATTTGTTCGATTCATATTAAACACAATAAAGTTGCATTTGAGACGTTTCACTGAACAACTTATCTGATAGTTTATTACTTTGATTCACTAAAATATCTAAATAATTATTGGCAGCAGCAGAAATACCTGAACAAAGTATTTTCTCGAGGTGAACTTTCAGTCCTTTGGAAACTGTTTATCACGTTAGATTAGATCATTTCAGGGAATCCAGCTCCGCTTCAGATCCAGAACCTTCATTTAAACCAGTCCGAGGTGTCAGCCTGAAAAAGTGCTAAGCAGCCTCACCTTTTATTAAAAATCACTTTAAAACTAACGGCTGGGAGAAGGACCACTACACCGAACCACTGAAACACTCAGGCTGCACTGAAAGCAGCAGAATAAGCCCATAAAAGCAATATTAAGACATAAATCTGCAAGAACAGAAGAACCCAAAGACTATATTGGGATTAAAAAGTGATCTTAAATGTTAACGTATCTCCATAAAGAATATCTAATAAGATAAAATGCAGGTTCAAACAATTACTACTAGAGCCCGACTGGCTCGGTAGGGACGATATTTTGGACTGATATAGGTGTTTGGGGACATATCAGTATAATTAGGCCTGTCAGGATAAATAATTTTGCTGGGCGATTAATTGTCTCATAAATTATTGCGATAAACGATAATATTGTTTGAAATTTGACAATAATTAGTCATTATTGTCAAATTTAAGAACAAAAATGTTGGTTCATTTGTTTTGTTTTAGTACCTTTTTTTGACCACCGGATGTCAGTATAAGACAGTTTGAACCGAAGGATGGATAGTGAGGGAGTGAGTCTCTTTAAGAAAAATGGGAGGGAGGCCCCTTGACGTGACATGGGCTGTCTCTCCTTCCTTTATTCGGTTCTCAAAAATGGTGGACGCCCGGTATGGTTTGAGCTCTTTAACATAGCATTTTTCACACAAAGATTTTAATTT